TTTAAAAAATGAAGAGGAAATTATTTTTTTCTCTTCTAACTGGAGTGAAATGAAGTATATTAATTTCATCCACACACAATCAACAACATCAATAATTTGACTCGATCAATGGATTTGATTGAAGTACACACCGTACTTAATGGTAAATCTTACTCTTGTTCTTTTCAGATGCACAAAAATGCACCAAATGTCTAGAAGATCAATATCCAAACATCAGACAAGTTCACTGTATTCCCAAGACCAATAGTTACCTCTCTTATAAAGAAACTCTGGCAATCATCCTGGCTTCTATTGCCTTATTCATGTTTTTAATCACAGGCACTGTTTTGGGAATCTTCATTAAATTTCTGGAAACGCCAATCATCAAAGCCAACAATCGGGACCTCTCCTTCATCCTCCTGGTCTCCCTCCTGCTTTCCTTTTTGACCTCCTTCCTATTCATTGGCCAGCCAAGGAAAGTCACCTGCCTTCTCCGACAAACAGCCTTCAGCATCATCTTCTCAGTTGCCATTTCTTCAATCTTGGCCAAAACGATCACAGTAGTGTTAGCCTTCTTAGCCACTAAACCAGGAAATAATATTCAGAGGTGGCTGGGGAAAAGCTTGGCCAATGCTATCATCTTTTCTTGCTCTGCTGTCCAACTTGTCATCTGTAGCCTCTGGTTGGGTACGTCTCCTCCATTCCCTGACTCTGACATGCATTCCCAGTATGGAGAGATTATTTTGCAATGCAATGAAGGGTCTGTCATCATGTTTTATTCAGCCCTTGGTTACATGGGTTTTCTGGCTACCATCTGCTTCACGCTGGCTTTCCTGGCCAGGAATCTGCCTGGGGTCTTCAATGAAGCCAAACTCATCACCTTCAGCATGCTGGTCTTCTGCAGTGTCTGGGTGTCCTTTGTGCCCACCTATCTGAGCACCAGGGGGAAATACATGGTGGCTGTGCAGATCTTCTCCATCTTAGCTTCCAGTACTGGGCTGTTGGGCTGCATCTTCATCCCGAAGTGCTACATTATTTTTTTAAGACCTGATCTGAATACTAAAGAACATGTGATGTCAAAATAAAATAGAAATTAACTTTTGGTATGTCTATCTCCCAAAATTCAGGATTATTATTTCCTATCTTAATGTTCCTTAAAAAGTGCACACACACAAAGTGTTACATCATTGTATCAAGGCCAGACTCAAATACAAAGGAGTAACTGATATTGAAAACTGAAGTAGAAAATTGATTCTGATAGATGTTTGGGGGTTATCTTAGGTAATCTGGGATGTTTCCACCCAATATTTTAATTCATCATTAAGTACCTTTTAGTGGGAAACACTATTTTTGGGGCTGCTTTTTAAAGTGATCTCCTGTTTATGCCCAATTCTCATATTTTTATTTTTCTATGTCAGATAACTATTACTCAGAATTTTAGGATTCATTATTAGCCTTTAAGTAAGGATATTTTAGCAATTTAGCCCAGCAGTATAGGTCTCTTTTCTAATTTTAGGAAAGGATATTTTTCTTCTGAGCCAAGACCATTTCTTTTATATGTGAGAACTAATCTTTTCAGCCACTAAACCAGTGGTGAAATGTAAAATTTGTTACTACCGGTTCTGTGTGCGTGGCTTGGTGGGGGGGGAGGTAATGTGACTGGGTGGGCATGGCCAACTTTTTTTTTTTTACTTTTAAAAGCATTTTTTCTACAACCTTAAGAGGTTGCAGAAAAAAAGTGCTTTTAGAAACCTCTGACGATCAGGCAACTCAGCTGGGATCGCCAGAGGCTTTTAAAGCATTATTTTTTTCTACAACCTCTCTGGCTGAAGAGGTTGCAGAAAAAAATGCTTTTAAAAGCCTCTGATGATCAGGCAACTCAGCAGGGCATAGGGGGGCCAGGGATTTTTGCCACCGGTTCTCCAAACCACCCATCGCCATCGCTACTGGATCGGGAGATCCGGTCTGAACCGGGAGCATTTCACCCCTGCACTAAACCAAAGACAGATTATTGTGAAAATTCTTCAGTATAATTGCAAATTTTAAGTAAGACACTTACCCAGCTAGGAAAGGGTGCAATGTGACACATAAATTTTGTTGAATATTTTCTATTGTTCAATTCTTACATGTAAACAATGCATTTTATTCTTTCATTAGTTGCTTTCTGATGTATCACATATACCAAATTTTTGTATCATTGATTTTGTGCCTTATCAAAATAATTGACACTTACACCCCTCAAAAAAATGCATTTTACTTTGTTTGTGGCTCTTCTTTCGCAAAATGTGAGAGCATTTTCTCTTTCAAATTCAGGGGGAAAGGTTTTATCAGTTCCATGCCAAATTCATGCCAAAAACAGCCCGAAAAACAGCCTGAAAACGGCCTGAAAATGGGCAAAAATTGGGCAAAAAACGGGGGGGCAGCCAGTAGTGGGATTAGCTCCACCTGGCTGAATCCTACCTCTGCCTATGAGGCAAGTGGCCGAGATGCAGGGCTGGGTGTGATGAGTGATGTCACCCACCCAGTCACATGACCAACCAGCCACACCCAGCCAGAGAACCAGTTGTTAAGTTATTCAAGTCCCACCACTGCGTGAGGTGACAACTTTAGCAGATAGCAGTTGGAAGACTTTTGTTTTGTTTTGTTTTGTTTTGTTTTATTCTGTTCTGTTCTGTTCTGTTATGTTATGTTCTACATGAAGAGCCAGATTGCAGAGCGATCATCACAGAGAAGGTTTATGACATCACTAGATATTGAGAGCCATGTGACAGCTCATAATCTATTGTTCCATATGCATTGATACTCTGTATAGGTCCAACAAGGGCCATATTCAGAAAAGTTTTCATTCAAAAATGTTCATATTAGGATATAACATTATCTGGAGTATCTGACCTGAATGGAGGAAGGTGGCCTCAATGACACCATGCATAATAATAAGAAATTGTATTGCATTGTATTGAAGAAAAAGTTTCTAGAGTAAAAGGCAGTCAAACTTCCCTGAATTGTTCCCTTCCTTACTCTGAAATTAGAACTATACCCCTGAAATTAGGCAAAACTTTTTTCTTGTTGCATGTCTCTGTGGCACCACTCATTCCCAATTCCCTTTCCAATTATTAAAATCATGGTGATTTGTTTTACTTTGAACAAAGCCTAATGGTATATTTCCACCACCACCATTAGTTTTAGAGCAATCTGACAATAAGATGGGATCTATACAACAACAGAAAATCTGATCTGTAACTACCTCCAGAACCACTGAGAGAAAAGGTAGAATCATGCAGGGGTTGTGCTAGTCTGCCACTGCAGGTTTGTCTTCTAGATCTGGAGCCAAAGTGGCCCATCTTCACTGCAGTTGTGTTTTGGAAGCTGCAAGCTCTTTCCCAGAAGGAGAACTCTAAGAAGGATCTCCATCCATATACGGCAAAGGATGCTGCTGCAAAAGCTGCTCTTTCTCCTTCTCCTTCTGTCCCAGTTTCCCTGTGCCACAGTGCAAACTAAATGTCCATTGAAGGTGACAATAGAAGAAGAGAAGGAGTTTAATTACTACAAGCCAGGAGACTACTTGATTATTGGAATAACGTCTAGAATATTTTCTCGAAGTTACCCCTATGTTCTTTCCGAGCCTCCAATTCACAGATTGAGAAGGTAATTGTTGTCCTATACAAGGTTTTCGTGATTGGGTTTTACCTGCCTCAATGTCTTTTTCTAGAACTGATTTCCTTTTTTCCCCTAATTTCTCACCTTGAAAACAAGAAGCATTATTGCTTCTCCCAAATTGCTTCAGGGAAAGCCAAATATGCAAAGTTCCTTTTAAGTTCTTCATCAAGGGTCAGCCTCAACACTCTAGTCTGGTGACATTCTGCTGTTCTCAAAATGATTACTTTTTTATTTAGTTAGTTATAGGTTATAGTTACAGATATTCCCCAACTTACTACAGTTCATTTAGTGACTGTTTGAAGTTACAAAAGTAACTGAACATTGAAAAAAAAAAGTGACTTTGGGATGGTTTTCACAACTATGACCATTGCCTCATTCCTGTGGTCATGTGACCAAAATGGACAACTGGCATGTTGTTATGATGGCTGCAGTGTCCTGGGGTCATGCAATTTCCTTTTGCAACCTTCTGACGAGCAAAGTCAATGGGGAAGACAGATTCGCTGAACACCTGTGTCACTAACTTAACATCTGCGGTGAGTCACTTAGCAACTTTGGCAAGAAACATCATAAAAATAAACAACTCTCTTGGTTAGCAATCAAAATTTTGGGCCTAACTGGGCTTGTGGTTGTGAGACTACTTCTATATAGAGGTCCATATCACAATCAAATAACTCAATACCTTTGAACAGAAGGAAACTTCTTAAATTTAATCCCCCCTCCCTTCTCCTCTCCTCAACATCACACTCTATCCTTCATTCCTTCCTCCCTCTCTTTCCTTTCTTTCCAACCAACGCCTTTGACCTATTTTATATGCTTTTTTAGACTTCCATGTTACTGGTGGTCTAAATAAAAGGAAATCCTTTTAAAAAAACCAAATCCAAAGAGAATAAAGATCTTGCTTACGTGATAATTTAATGGTGTAGCTACAGCGGATCACATTAACGATTTTTGAATATAGGGCAATCACTCCAAAGTTATCAATAATCTGCAGCAAAACAATCTCTGGATCTACCAATGGCTTTTTGAGGAGTGGATCATCTCCACCTGCTCAAGAGTGAATCCTGCACTTGAGAACATCCATTTGTTACTACCTGGATGCTCTAATAGAAAGAAATAATATGATATTATTACAATACATACTGCATGCACACCTAGTAATACTCTACTCACAGCCATTCTTGAGGGCTGTGAAAACCCATATGGCTCTTCCCACATGCATTGGTCCAGGGTGTGGAGTTGATCTGTAAAAGAGGTTGGTCTTGCACTTGAGGGAAAAAGAATATATTTTAACTATGTTTTCTGAGTGGTGATGGGCCACCTATAATCATTGCATAAATAGGCTGCTATTTTGCAGTTCTGTGTCAATGTTTTGCCATATCCTGCCCTACTTCTTGGCTGTTCGTGAGATCAACCAGAGCCCAGTGCTCCTACCCAACATCACCCTGGGCTACAACATATATGAGAACTTCTTCAATGAAAGAATAACCTATGAGGCCATGATGGACTTCCTGTCTACAGGGCAGGAGAATGTCCCAAACTACAGATGTGGAAGACAAAAGAACCTGCTGGCAGTTCTTGAAGAGGCAGAATCTGAACTCTTCGATCATATTTCAACGTTCTTGAGCATCTACAAAATTCCACAGGTATGAAGTTAAAATGAATTTATTGCCATGCTACGAACATCTCCAAATTTATTTATTGGTTCGATTTATATGTCGCCCTTCTCCGGAGACTCAGGATGGCTTACAATGCATTAAGCAATAGCCTTCATACTTTTGTATATACCTGCTTAGTAGGGCTTTCGCCCCCCCCCAAAAAAGCGGTGTTCTTTTTTATACAAAGTCAGCTTATTGCCCCCATAATCCACGTCCTCATTTTACCTACCTCAAAAGGATGGAAGGCTGAGTCAACCTTGAGCCTGGTGAGATTTGAACTTGCAGTAATTGCATGCAGCTGGTGCTATTTAACAGCACTTTAGTCTGCTGTGCCACCAAGACACCAAATGAATCTGGACACAGAGTTTAGATATTAAAAGACCTGAAATAATTTACTTTCTGTAAAATATAGGTAGTCTTCAACTTACGACAACAACTGAGTCCAAAATTTATGTTGTCAAATGACAACTCTGTTACGTGAGCTTTGCCTCATTTTCCGACTTTTCTTGCCACATTTGTTCAGTGAATCACTGCAGCTGTTAAATTAGTAACACGGTTGTTTGCTCGTCAGAAGGTTGAAAAAGGTGATTCCATGGACACTGCGACTGTCATAAATGTGAGTCGGTTGTCAAGCATCTGAAAGTAAATAATGTTAGAACAATTAATTAGTGAAACAACTTGCCTTCAGAAATTGTGAGTGCTTCAATGTTGGAAATTTGTAAGAAGAGATTGAACAGCCATTTATTCAGAATGGTATAAGGTCTCCTGCTTGATCAGGGGGGTAGACCAGAAGATCTCCTAAGTCTCTTCCAACTCTGTTATTCTATATTCTGCTCAAATGCCTCAGTAAAAGGCTATTTAGTGTGGAATGGCACTTACATTTAAGCATCTGACTTTTATAATTAAAAGTGGCACAAACTACCACTCTTTTCTCTTTCTTCTTAGATCAGCTATGGTGGTCTCAGCCACATTCCTCGGCAAAATCATCATTTCCCTTTTTTCTACCGGATGACCCCAACACAAGATCCTCCTTACTCAGCAATTGTCAAGCTGCTCCTGCATTTCCAATGGACCTGGATCAGCCTTCTTTCTCAACACAATGACAGAGGGGAAAACTTTAAAAGAAGCTTGGAAGCACTAGCTGTAGAAAGTGGGGTTTGCATTGTCCTCTCAGAAACCATCTCTGCATCAAATATAGATTTAAATGTTGGACAAACGTCTAAGCAAGATGAAAGGAAAATAATCCTTTTTTTAATGAATAGTCAAGTGAAAATTATAGTTTGTCAACTGGATTTTCATGCCACAACCATACTAAGTGGACTAATATATATTAATGAAAAGAGTAAAACTTTCATTGGGGGAAAAGTGTGGATTGCAACAACCTTCTCTGATTTCAGTATCAGGCTCTTTTACCGTGTGCTTGATCTCCGAAATAAACATGCTTTGTTTTCCTTCCTCGCCAAGACAAAGAAGAGGACACAGCACTATTATTTTAATTTATACTCCTTTGCTGACAAACAGTTTGTAAAGAAAGCATTCCAGTGTTCCTTTCCAAGTCCGGTGTTATCTAAGAAAGTTTGGGAAAAATGCACAGAAAAAGAGATCCAGGAGAACCTGCCCCATGCCATGGTTAAAAGATACCTGTTGAATGATGGCTCTGGTATTTCTGATGTAATCCAAGCTGTAGTCTGGATCCTCAGTGCTGCTTCTTTCTCCCAAGTGAGTAAGAGGAGGATGCAAGTTAGAGATCATCGGTCACCTCATGTTGTACAAACATGGCAGGTGAGGCTTCTCCTTCTGAGTTCCACTGATGGTCCCCTTTCAATTCCTCAGAATTAATTTAGATGTAAGGAGAAGTGAGTTATTCCAAACTGCCGAGATTCTAGTATTTGAGAATGGATGTGAGGGAGATTATGAGACTAAATCTTCCATGCTTAGACTACCTGAACTGGTTTGGGATGCTACAATGACAGAAACAGCTATATAGTGACAAAGGGATTTTCCCCATTTGCAAATTCAATAAGCTTCAGGATTTTCTAGCAATCCTCTCCAGTGATTCCACAAGCTAGTTTCGTTTTGTTTTCTTGACTAATAAAGCAGAATATTTGTAGCTCAGGGTTGAAAAGTGGGGTCCTTGTTACTCCCTGATTGTTTTCTTGCAAACCTTTCATTACCCAAATGAGGTAACATAACCAGTGCTCAGCCCTGATGATGATAGGTAGTTTGGATAATGAAACATTTACAAGAAAACAACCAGACAATTAACCTTGAGTTTATATTCTGTATTCGTTTAAGAAGTTTTAGCTTCTTAAAAGATCCCTCCACATCAACAAGGTATACAGTAAATTAATGTCTGTTCAAAGCACCTTCTGGGTAATAAAAAGCTCATCCACGCATCACCTGGATTAGTGAAGATACCTCAATAGATAGTTTTTGAACTTCACCATGAAACTTTCTCCCGTTCATAGCCCAAAGATAAGCCCTTCTAACTTGATCTTGCCTCATATTAAAAGGTTGTTCTCCATTTTGGAGTTTTCCCGAAACTCTGTTACACTGTTCAACAGCGGCTCTTGTTGCAGCTTGGAATGAGTAGGCAGTGAGTAGGCTGTTGTCTGAGTAATACACATACAAACACCCATGACTTTTCTAAACAAAATACTCACAAGAAATTAAGAAAGTCTCATGCAGTATCAATGAGAAAAACTTGTATTTGAAATTTCAGCTTCATGTAATTTCATTTTTCAAAATTATGATGCTGAACTATGGATTGGTAGGACGATATAATGATTCCTTCAAGAAAGTGAAAGGCATATCTGAAAACTATCGGGTGTTTTCTAGAGGAGGGAGAGTAGCTTCCCATAAAATATTGAATAATATTGAAGAGCCTTGGTGGCGCAGCAGACTAAAGCGCTGTTAAGTAACGCCAGCTGCCTGCAATTACTGCAAGTTCAAATCTCACCAGGCTCAAGGTTGACTCAGCCTTCCATCCTTTCGAGGTAGGTAAAATGAGGACCCAGATTGTGGGGGCAATAAACTGACTTTGTATAAAAAAGAACACCGCTTGTGGGGGGGGGCAAAAGCCCTACTAAGCAGGTATATACAAAAGTATGAAGGCTATTGCTTAACAAGTTGTAAGCCGCCCTGAGTCTCCAGAGAAGGGTGGCATATAAATTGAACCAATAAATAATAAATAAATAATCTTTTTCAGACAGAAGTGCTGAGCTGAAGTGGCTGAAGTGAACTTCTAATCCAGAATAATAACCAAAACATAAATAAAATCTAGGCTCAAATTGTAATGTGTAAGTTGCATGTATAGTCTTCTATGTGTTTGCAGCTTCACTGGTTCATGAGAATCTTCCAGCTTCAAAATCTTTCCAGGGATGGAGTTTATTTGGATGAAAATGGGGTTCCCTTTGCTGACTTCAATATTATGCACTGGAGAATGTTTCCCAACAAGTCCTCTGCTGGGCTGAAAGTTGGAAGTGCAGAAAGAGAGGTCTTCTCCAAAGTCAAGATCTCCATCAATCAAAGTACCATTGAATGGCCAAGATCATTTAACAAGGTAACTGATGCTTCTTTGGTTTTGCTCTTCTATTTACCTCCACTTATCAAAACTTCTCTGCTCAGAAATAATTTTCATTTTGACTTTAGGCTTTGCTGATCAGGTAAGATTGCTCTTATAGAAATGGCTAGTACATACAGTATTAGTATGAAAAAGGGAAAAAATGAGGCTGTAATGTTACTGTCTTATACACATACAGATACACATACATAATTCTCATTGAAGACAATTGAGAACCCAACTGCTCATTGATTCGTTTGAAGTCATATTTCTTTAGACTTGCTGTTCCCCCAATTGTGTTGCATCTTCTGCAGCCTGAGTCTTGACTGCCTTGAGTTCATTACTCGGAATGATGACACCCTATAATTCATATGTTATTTACCTGAACTTTGTTTTTATGCTTAGAAAGTGCCTTCTTCTAGATGTACAGAACGTTGTTCCCCAGGACATGTCAAGCTGATGAGAGAGGGAGCGCCTGTTTGCTGCTATGACTGTTCTCTGTGTGGGGAAGGAACGTTCTCTATGGAAGAAGGTGGGTAGCCTTTCTGGAAAGAAAAGGAAAGGAATTCAAGATACAGTCAAATTCACTCTTGCTTTTCTGGCAAACATTCGTTACAAGTGTTTTCCTTCATGCTAGTAATAGACCTTACTACTAGCATTTTCATAGTGCCATAAAGTAGGAAAAATTAAATTTCTTGAAGGGATCCACAAATAATTCAAGGACTGGGTACAATCAACCAATGATACATCCCAAAAGCATTATTTAAACCAAGGTTTCTAGACTTTTGCTGCCTAATCCATTTGGTAGGATTGTAAAGATAATGGTGCACTACATTATCACTGTTTAGGTCTTTTGCATGTTCCATAGCAGTTTGTCACTATTACTCATTGTTCACTGATCCTTCATGTATATGTTTTCTTACAATTCAGCCTAGGCCTCCACCAATTACAGTAGGAAAGTATTTTGTAATATGTTCTCCTCCTCTCCCAACATCCTCTCTCACCCTACTACTTTCAAAAACACTTGAATACTTGAACTGCATTTCTCATGATCCCAGAGCTGCAAAAAAGATACATGCTAACCAATGTTTTTCAGATGCAGCGCATTGTAGCAGGTGTCCAGATGACCAGTATTCAAATAAAAAGCGAGATCAGTGTGTCCCAAAAATTATAAGTTTCTTGTCTTACAAAGAAATGTTGGGACTCCTCCTGGCTTCCTTTGCTCTGGCTTTGTCCCTAACCACTGCCTTGGTTCTCGGAATCTTCATTAAATACCAAGAAACTCCCATAGTCAAAGCCAACAACCGGGACCTCACCTACATTCTCCTGGTTTCCCTCCTCCTTTCCTTCTTGGCCTCCCTTCTATTCATTGGTCAGCCCAACAAAACGACCTGTTTTCTTCGACAAGCCACTTTCAGCATTGTTTTTTCTGTTGCTGTGTCCTCCTTGCTGGCCAAGACTGTTATGGTGGTGGTGGCTTTCCTTGCTAAAAAGCCAGGGAGCAGGATGAGGAAGTGGCTCGGGAAGACTCTGGCCAACCTTATGGTATTTTCCTGCTCTGGTGTTCAGGTGGGCATCTGCATCATGTGGCTTGGCATCTCTCCCCCATTCCCAGATTCTGACCTGCATTCCCAACCAGGACAGATCCTTCTGCAATGCAACGAAGGCTCAGTCACCATGTTCTACATCGCCCTTGGCTACATGGGCTTTCTGGCTGCCATTTGTTTCTTGGTGGCCTTCTTGGCCCGAAAGCTGCCAGGGACTTTCAATGAAGCCAAGTGGATCACCTTCAGCATGTTGGTTTTCTGCAGTGTTTGGGTCTCCTTTGTCCCCACTTACCTGAGCACCAAAGGGAAATACATGGTAGCTGTGCAGGTTTTCTCCATCCTGGCTTCCAGCTTGGGTTTGCTGGGCTGCATTTTTATCCCCAAATGCTACATTATTATGCTGAGACCTGATCTGAACACAAAGGAGCAACTAATGATGAAAATGAAGGAGGGCTCCTAGTTTTATTCTCTATTTTTGTAACTGGTTTCTTTTAAATATAAGGCAAGATAGCATTGAAGTAAACTCTCTTTTTGTGTTCCGTGGGATTGTCTTTCCTTTCTTTTGAATTATGAATTATGCTCACCAATGAAAGATAAATTCCAGCGTAAGACAATTGTTGCCTCTTTTGAAAATCTCCTGAGCCTATCTTCAGGTGGTTTTACTGGAATGGACAGGCCTCAGGGCCTTTTGCCATCAAATGAAAGCATGTGGCTGTGCAGGGGAGGTGGCTCCTCACATTTAACTCTTTCTGAGAATGTTTGTGCTAATGTTTAATAAGGCAAAAGGCACTGTGGGTTTCGAAGGGAGGGTGCTGTTTCCGTGGGACATCAGTATTAGATTAAACTTGTTTCAGTCCCTTAAAAATCCTACATTCATTCAAAATGTTACTCACAGAATCTAAGCTGGTGTTGCCTGTGCTAAGTGAGTCAGAACAATGGAACTTTCTAGAACATGAAGGTATCCAGAGGCAGCCTTCTAACCCAGATATTTCACTTCTATTTTATTTATTATTTATTTTATTTTATTCAATTTGTATACGGCCCTTCTCCAACAGGACTCAGGGCGCTGAACAGCCACGGTAAAACATAACATATAAAATTTAAAAGCAGTTTAAAAGACATTAAATAATTTTGGCCATCAATTTAAAACAACCCAGTTAAAACCAATTACAAATTAAAACTAAAAGGATGGGATCAAGCCAGCCCAGCTAGATGAAATAGATGTGTTTTCAGGGCCCGACGAAAAGTCCGGAGGTCTGGTATCGTGCGTATCTCTGGGGGTAGGTCGTTCCAGAGGGCAGGTGCCGCCACAGAGAAGGCTCTCCCCCTGGGGGTTGCCAGCCGACATTGTCTGGCCAACGGCACCCTGAGGAGGCCCTCTCTGTGCGAGCGAACTGGCCGGTGGGAGGCTATTGGCGGCAGAAGGCGGTCTCGTAGATACCCCGTCCCTAAGCCATGGAGCACTTTAAAGGTGGTCACCAACACCTTGAAGTACACCCGGAAGACCACAGGAAGCCAGTGCAGCTCGCGCAGGAGAGGTGTCACATGGGAGCTCCCCATCACTCCCATAATCCCCCGCGTGGCCGCATTCTGGACCAACTGGAGCCTCCGGCTCTGAAAGTAAATGCTAAGACTGGGGTGACTGATAAGAGTGGGGAGGACTATCAGCAGCAGCAAAGATTAAACCAAACAGCATATAGATGGAGAAGCAATTGCTATGCCTTGAGGTTGGCAGCTATTTAAAGCAAGCAAGCAGCCTAACCAGGATCAGAAGCTAGAATGATCAGAAGCTAGAGTGGGCTGCTGGGGGTTCACAGGGGTTCAGGAGATTCTGTGCAGTTTGGAGAACCTCCAAATCCCACTCCTGGCTGGCCCCACCCACCTCGCCCCATCTCTCCCAGGAATCCCCACATGGCCCATTTTGGATGCAAGTTTCCAGCCTCCAGAGGGCGTCCGGAGCCTGGGGAGGCTGTTTTCACCCTCCTGGAGGTTTGAAACAAAAAGCCCCCCCCCCCCATGGTGCAGGAGGCCGACTAGCCCACGCCCACCATGGCCATGCCTACCCAGCAACTGGGCAGAGAACCCCTTGCTACAAGTTTTGAAGCCCACCCCTGGTTGGTTGGTTGGTTGGTTGATTTGAGTACACTGATTTTCAGCATTTTAAATATGTTTCAGAGGAAGGGTGGCAGGGTAACTCTATTAGTTCTTTTAAATATAATTGACCAAACATATAAGGTGTAGAAATATTGCACTCAGGTTCTCTCCCATTCTGGGAAGAACCTAACAATAATTGGTAATGTGTTGTAAATCAGAGGTCCAGGCTTTTGCTCTGTTCCAAGATGTCTCTCCCGCTCTCCCCGAGAGCTTTTATTTTTATACAGTTTTACACAGGCAGATAAAAGGCAGGCAAGCAACAGTGTTCTAATTGGACCAATTATTCACCCCCCTCTCAAGATGCCATCCTCTGAAGGTGAAATGAGATAATCCAGATCAGAGCCAAAATGAGGTAAGCAGGCAAGATTCACAGAGCATGAGCTAAGCCAGTGTGCTGCTCTTAGCAGGCACTAAGAACTTTGACCTGTTGACCTACCTCTAGATTCCACTCTGTTTTGTTTTGTTTGTCAGGGCATCATAATCATAATCATGAGAGGAATATCCCTGCAGTTGCTTATACAAGACATAAACCTGACCCTGAGGCAGCGTGAGAGGGGGTTTGGGGCAAAATGCAGTAATACATATGTTACAAAAAGAGGGAAGACACTGAACAAAACAGCACCCACCAATTAAAATAGCACAAATGATAACTGAATAACATAGGATGTTTCCCAATAAGCCTGTAGGTAACCAAGACCAAAGGCTTTCCCACCAAGATCCTAAAGTATCAAATTTTAAATCAGAGGCCAAATTATGTAAAATATTAAGTTGATGCTGAATGTTCCGTGACTCATCTGAAATGTTAAAGCAACAAAATCCTTCAAAACTTTCAGAACCCAAATGCTGGCGTAGAAGCAAATAATCAACAGCAGCGTGATTTTGAAGAATAGCTTTTCTAAAAGCTTGCAGCTCATGATCGATTGCTGAAATCACTGAAGAAGTGGCATTAATGGTTTTTGCTAGATTACATGCAATAGCATTAAGATTCAGATGAGCACACGCAGCAAGTGCTGGCACACCCACCATAGATACAGCCAATGATATGTATTCTGCTTGATTAAGTAAAGCTACTTCAGAGTCACAAGTGTCATCTAGGGTGACCCCACGCTGAATACGGCTCAAGTGAAATTGTTGTTTAGAAAGCAAAACAGGAACCAACCGGCTAAAACAACATTGCGCTTCACTAATATTAGCAGGAATATAATTAAAGGTTTCTTGACCGCATATAAAAAACAGCGGTAACCAAACATGAGCAAAATTAAAGGAAGCCTCTTCAAAAGCTGTACAATTTAAGACAGGTGAACTAATGCTAAGACAGTGAGCATTTTTACTTGAAGAAGTACAATTAACCATTTTTACACATATTACATTTTCAGGGACTGCACCACTGGAGTATGCAAATCAATTGCGTTAGGAGGTGGATAATATGCAGCTACCCCCCCTCCCCCAACTAGCTATAATCTTATAGTTATAGTGCCCTTCTAACAAATACCTACCCAAGCCAGTAAGGTTCTGAGTTACACTAGTAGGGGAACAAACAGGGATTAAACAAGTAGACAGCAAATTTTCCATATCACAAGCTTCAGACAAACAAAAGGCATCAGTTTTTGTGATGTTTGCAAGCTGCACCGATAAGTTTTGTTTCATCCATTGTTCGAGAGTATGTTTAGGTGGGATGACAGCTGCTGTTGCCAAAGTACAGTTATTAACAATCAAGCACAAACAAATTATGACTAAGGAATTGGCAGTTAAAACCGCAAAAATGGCAGTGCACAAATTCTCGGGTGTTTGTTCCACTTGTTGCTGCTGCAGTACTGCCTGCGCTTTGGTGGTCAAATTCTTCACATCTCCCCATGTCACTGGATGACTGGCACGATGGGATCGGGTTGGTCACTGCACCGTCTGTAGAGTCACCTTTGCCATCTCTGGGATAGGGTTCAGGGGTTGGTGCCACAACATCCTTGGCTGGGCATATACAATGTTCTGGGATCCACGAAGGTCCTGTAGGTGTAAACACAGCAGCATAGCCATGCCCCCAAGTAATCAGAGGGACTGGTCCGAACCATGTTTTGTCTGGTAATGCTCTATAATATAGCAGAGGAGGAGGCAAACTTGTTTTTTGTTGAAAATGCCTCTGTAAGTGGTCAAATTAGAAATTGAAAAATTCAATTGATTCAAAGTAAATAAAACTTTTGTAACCTGTTGTGTCACCCATGACAAATTTGGGACCCGAGAGCCCTCTTTTTTATTTGTTTGTGAAGGCAGTCCTTAAAGGACCTATTAGCACATTCCACAATGGCTTGACCTGTGGAATTATAGGGAAGACCATGAGTAACAACAATATTCCAGGTTGTATAAAATTGCAAAAAAGTTCCAAGGATCCAAAGAAGGAATATGGGTAACATCCATTTGCCATAATTGATTAGAGGTGAAACCACAGGGATTAACTCCTGTATCCCCTGAGGGGGATGCCCCAGAACATTAGGGACAAGATGAAACAATTTGCTTAGCTTGCTCTAGTGGAATGTGGCAAGCTTGTGCCAGCCCCCTGGCATTTTGATGGAAAAAAGAATGACTAAAAAATGGATCTGTAAACAAAGTAGGTAAAACATGAACAGCAGCATCAGAATGACTGTTGCCTTCAGAAAGAGGCCCAGGAAGGGGTGAATGACTGCGTATGTGAGAGACATAATACAAATGCTTCCGGTCTTGTAGTAATTGCTGTAAAGTGAGAAATAAAGCCATAAGATTGGAGTCAATCCTGGGCATGATATAAGCACCTGGAAGATTAAAAGTAAGTTGACATACTGAGAGTCAGAGATCAGATTAAAAGGCTGTTGAGAAAAAGTGTGGAAAGCTAAAATGGCAGCAAACAATTCTGAGCGTTGAGGTGAAGACTGTCCTGCAGTGTAAGAAACTTTCCAGATGTCATCATGAGTATCCTTGTAAGCAATCGTTCCTCTCGTTCGTCCTTCATCAGAAAAAACAGTAAGAGCTTGCGATAGTGGAGAAGGAGAAAGCAATGAGCGAATAGGAAAGGAGGAAGTTATTAAACAAGTAAACATAGGATCTTTAGGCAAATGATATGAAATACAATCAACATGACAAAAAGCTGTGCTTTTTTAGCTGTTTATCAGCCCCAGTGCGCGCTCACAACGTATGAGTTGTGCTAAATGTATGCTAAAGCTGACCAGGCTAAGGATGCTAGCTAGATGAATATCTGGTAGGAAGAGGCAGAATATTTTTTTTCTATTTTCCTTCCCAAAAACTAAGGTGCCTCTTATACTCCGGAGCATTTTATACTCCAAAAAATATGGTATACTCTTGGTAAAAAAATGTCCCAGGAGTTTCTTTTGCT